AATGTTCAATGCACTTGTGTTCCTCGTTATTATAGTGGTCAGTATCCCCGCCTGTCACGCGGGAGACCGGGGTTCAATTCCCCGACGGGGAGGAGAGGGATTTTACTGACACTCCCCAACACAATCAATGGCACATTATACTTGGACAACACGGCATCTGTGCAGAAGAAGCCACTGATGTTTTAATTCAAGCCAACGATCAACTCTGGTGAACGTGTAAATTTCATGTCAGGATGGCCGAGCGGTCTAAGGCGCTGCGTTCAGGTCGCAGTCTCCCCTGGAGGCGTGGGTTTGAATCCCACTTCTGACAGTTTTTGAGTAAACCTAATGAAGCGCCTCAATTCGGGCCACTATTTTTACATTGTGATTCGAAGGGGATATAGAGAGTGAGTTGTCCTGTGTCAATCTCACATTTAGACTTGTGCGACTCACATTGACCAGATATTCCGCAAGAGGTGGTCAAATTATGGCCAATTTTCACATTAAAATTGCGACTTGGCTGCGTTCCGATCGCAGTCTCCCTTGGAGGACTTGGTTCGAATCCCACTTGTGACAGAGGTTTTGAGTAAACCTAATGAAGTGTCTCAATTCGGGCCACTATTTTTACATTGTGATTCCAATTCCCGGCCACATTGTGACGGAAGCTGCATTGGCCGGCCTCCCTCGGTACAGAAGAGAATTCTACCACTAAGTGTGCTAAAGCGTATGCTGCATTGGCCGGGAATCGAACCCGGGCCTCCCGCGTGGCAGGCGAGAATTCCACCACTGAACCACCAATGCCTGTTTCTACAGGTGTTTTGGATCCCGTCATGTCTCAACCTCATATTTAAAATTGTAGGACTGAAAGTATTTGCTCATGACGAGGAATGCTCAATTTGTTTGTGTTCCTCGTTAGTATAGTGGTCAGTATCCCCGCCTGTCACGCGGGAGACCGGGGTTCAATTCCCCGACGGGGAGAAGAGGGATTTTGCTGACACTCCCCAACACAATCAATGGCACATTATACTTGGACAACGCGGCGTCTGTGCAGAAGAAGCCACTGATGTTTTTATTGGTTTTAATTCAAGCCAACGGTCAACTCTGGTGAAGATGCAAATTCCATGTCAGGATGGCCGAGCGGTCTAAGGCGCTGCGTTTAGGTCGCAGTCTCCCCTGGAGGCGTGGGTTCGAATCCCACTTCTGACAGTGTTTAAGCAAACCTAATGAAGTGCCTCAATTCGGGCCAATTTTATTACATTGTGATTCGAAAGGGATCTAAAGAGTGTCTTCCTGTGTCAATCTCACATTGACCAGATATTCCGCAAGAGGTGGCCGAATTACGGCCAGTTTTCACATTACAATTGCGACTTGGCTGTGGTAAAGAGTGTGTCTTCCTGTGTCAATCTCACATTGACCAGATATTCCGCAAGAGGTGGCCAAATTACGGCCAATTTTCACATTAAAACTGCGACTTGGCTGCGTTCCGATCGCAGTCTCCCTTGGAGGACTTGGTTCGAATCCCACTTGTGACAGAGGTTTTGAGTAAACCTAATGAAGTGCCTCAATTCGGGCCAATTTTTTTACATTGTGATTCGGAAGGGATCTAAATAGCGTCTTCCTGTGTCAATCTCACATTGACCAGATATTCCACAAGAGGTGGCCGAATTATGGCCAGTTTTCACATTACAACTGCGACTTGGCTGCGTTAAAGAGTGTGTCTTCCTGTGGCAATCTCACATTGACCAGATATTCCGCAAGAGGTGGCCGAATTACACATTACAACTGCGACTTGGCTGCGTTCAGATTGCAGTCTCCATTGGAGGACTTGGTTCGAATCCCACTTCTGACAGAGGTTTTGAGTAAACCTAATGAAGTGCCTCAATTCGGGCCACTATTTTTACATTGTGATTCCAATTCCCGGCCACATTGTGACGGAAGCTGCATTGGCCGGCCTCCCTCGGTACAGGAATGTTCAATGCACTTGTGTTCCTCGTTAGTATAGTGGTCAGTATCCCCGCCTGTCACGCGGGAGACCGGGGTTCAATTCCCCGACGGGGAGTAGATGGTTTTTACTGACACTCCCCAACACAATCAATGGCACATTATACTTGGACAACACGGCATCTGTGCAGAAGAATCCACTGATGTTTTAATTCAAGCCAACGATCAACTCTGGTGAAAGTGTATATTCCATGTCAGGATGGCCGAGCGGTCTAAGGCGCTGCGTTCAGGTCGCAGTCTCCCCTGGAGGCGTGGGTTCGAATCCCACTTCTGACAGTTTTTGAGTAAACCTAATGAAGCGCCTCAATACGGGCCACTATTTTTACATTGTGATTCGAAGGGGATATAGAGAGTGAGTTGTCCTGTGTCAATCTCACGTTTAGACTTGTGCGACTCACATTGACCAGATATTACGCAAGAGGTGGTCGAATTATGGCCAGTTTTCACATTACACCTCTTAATCGATCAAACAACTGGGCTCAATTGGCCGGCCATCAGCGGTCTAAAGCGCTGCATTCAGGTAGCAGTCTCCCCTGGAGGCGTGGGTTCGAATCCCACTTCTGACAGTGTTTGAGCAAACCTAATAAACTGCCTCAATTCGGGCCAATTTTTTTACATTGTGATTCGGAAGGGATCTAAAGAGTGTCTTCCTGTGTCAATCTCACATTGCCCAGATATTCCGCAAGAGGTGGCCGAATTACGGCCAGTTTTCACATTACAATTGCGACTTGGCTGTGGTAAATAGTGTGTCTTCCTGTGTCAATCTCACATTGACCAGATATTCCGCAAGAGGTGGCCAAATTACGGCCAATTTTCACATTACAACTGCGACTTGGCTGCGTTCAGATTGCAGTCTCCATTGGAGGACTTGGTTCGAATCCCACTTGTGACAGAGGTTTTGAGTAAACCTAATGAAGTGCCTCAATTCGGGCCAATTTTTTTACATTGTGATTCGGAAGGGATCTAAATAGCGTCTTCCTGTGTCAATCTCACATTGACCAGATATTCCGCAAGAGGTGGCCGAATTATGGCCAGTTTTCACATTACAACTGCGACTTGGCTGCGTTAAAGAGTGTGTCTTCCTGTGGCAATCTCACATTGACCAGATATTCCGCAAGAGGTGGCCGAATTACACATTACAACTGCGACTTGGCTGCGTTCAGATTGCAGTCTCCATTGGAGGACTTGGTTCGAATCCCACTTCTGACAGAGGTTTTGAGTAAACCTAATGAAGTGCCTCAATTCGGGCCACTATTTTTACATTGTGATTCCAATTCCCGGCCACATTGTGACGGAAGCTGCATTGGCCGGCCTCCCTCGGTACAGAAGAGAATTCTACCACTAAGTGTGCTAAAGTGTATGCTGCATTGGCCGGGAATCGAACCCGGGTCCCCCGCGTGGCAGGCGAGAATTCTACCACTGAACCACCAATGCCTGTTTTCGCTGGTGTTTTGGATCCCGTCATGTCTCAACCTCATATTTAAAATTGTAGGACTGAAAGTATTTGATCGTGACGAGGAATGTTCAATGCACTTGTGTTCCTCGTTAGTGTAGTCGTCAGTATCCCCGCCTGTCACGCGGGAGCCCGGGGTTCAATTCCCCGACGGGGAGGAGAGGGGTTTTACTGACACTCCCCAACACAATCAATGGCACATTACACTTGGACAACACGGCATCTGTGCAGAAGAAGCCACTGATGTTTTAATTCAAGCCAACGATCAACTCTGGTGAACGTGTAAATTCCATGTCAGGATGGCCGAGCGGTCTAAGGCGCTGCGTTCAGGTCGCAGTCTCCCCTGGAGGCGTGGGTTCGAATCCCACTTCTGACAGTTTTTGAGTAAACCTAATGAAGCGCCTCAATTCGGGCCACTATTTTTACATTTTGATTCGAAGGGGATATAGAGAGTGAGTTGTCCTGTGTCAATCTCACGTTTAGACTTGTGCGACTCACATTGACCAGATATTACGCGAGAGGTGGCCAAATTACGGCCAATTTTCACATTAAAACTGCGACTTGGCTGCGTTCCGATCGCAGTCTCCCTTGGAGGACTTGGTTCGAATCCCACTTGTGACAGAGGTTTTGAGTAAACCTAATGAAGTGCCTCAATTCGGGCCAATTTTTTTACATTGTGATTCGGAAGGGATCTAAATAGCGTCTTCCTGTGTCAATCTCACATTGACCAGATATTCCGCAAGAGGTGGCCGAATTATGGCCAGTTTTCACATTACAACTGCGACTTGGCTGCGTTAAAGAGTGTGTCTTCCTGTGGCAATCTCACATTGACCAGATATTCCGCAAGAGGTGGCCGAATTACACATTACAACTGCGACTTGGCTGCGTTCAGATTGCAGTCTCCATTGGAGGACTTGGTTCGAATCCCACTTCTGACAGAGGTTTTGAGTAAACCTAATGAAGTGCCTCAATTCGGGCCACTATTTTTACATTGTGATTCCAATTCCCGGCCACATTGTGACGGAAGCTGCATTGGCCGGCCTCCCTCGGTACAGGAATGTTCAATGCACTTGTGTTCCTCGTTAGTATAGTGGTCAGTATCCCCGCCTGTCACGCGGGAGACCGGGGTTCAATTCCCCGACGGGGAGTAGATGGTTTTTACTGACACTCCCCAACACAATCAATGGCACATTATACTTGGACAACACGGCATCTGTGCAGAAGAATCCACTGATGTTTTAATTCAAGCCAACGATCAACTCTGGTGAACGTGTATATTCCATGTCAGGATGGCCGAGCGGTCTAAGGCGCTGCGTTCAGGTCGCAGTCTCCCCTGGAGGCGTGGGTTCGAATCCCACTTCTGACAGTTTTTGAGTAAACCTAATGAAGCGCCTCAATACGGGCCACTATTTTTACATTGTGATTCGAAGGGGATATAGAGAGTGAGTTGTCCTGTGTCAATCTCACGTTTAGACTTGTGCGACTCACATTGACCAGATATTACGCAAGAGGTGGTCGAATTATGGCCAGTTTTCACATTACACCTCTTAATCGATCAAACAACTGGGCTCAATTGGCCGGCCATCAGCGGTCTAAAGCGCTGCATTCAGGTAGCAGTCTCCCCTGGAGGCGTGGGTTCGAATCCCACTTCTGACAGTGTTTGAGCAAACCTAATAAACTGCCTCAATTCGGGCCAATTTTTTTACATTGTGATTCGGAAGGGATCTAAAGAGTGTCTTCCTGTGTCAATCTCACATTGCCCAGATATTCCGCAAGAGGTGGCCGAATTACGGCCAGTTTTCACATTACAATTGCGACTTGGCTGTGGTAAATAGTGTGTCTTCCTGTGTCAATCTCACATTGACCAGATATTCCGCAAGAGGTGGCCAAATTACGGCCAATTTTCACATTACAACTGCGACTTGGCTGCGTTCAGATTGCAGTCTCCATTGGAGGACTTGGTTCGAATCCCACTTGTGACAGAGGTTTTGAGTAAACCTAATGAAGTGCCTCAATTCGGGCCAATTTTTTTACATTGTGATTCGGAAGGGATCTAAATAGCGTCTTCCTGTGTCAATCTCACATTGACCAGATATTCCGCAAGAGGTGGCCGAATTATGGCCAGTTTTCACATTACAACTGCGACTTGGCTGCGTTAAAGAGTGTGTCTTCCTGTGGCAATCTCACATTGACCAGATATTCCGCAAGAGGTGGCCGAATTACACATTACAACTGCGACTTGGCTGCGTTCAGATTGCAGTCTCCATTGGAGGACTTGGTTCGAATCCCACTTCTGACAGAGGTTTTGAGTAAACCTAATGAAGTGCCTCAATTCGGGCCACTATTTTTACATTGTGATTCCAATTCCCGGCCACATTGTGACGGAAGCTGCATTGGCCGGCCTCCCTCGGTACAGAAGAGAATTCTACCACTAAGTGTGCTAAAGTGTATGCTGCATTGGCCGGGAATCGAACCCGGGCCTTCCGCGTGGCAGGCGAGAATTCTACCACTGAACCACCAATGCCTGTTTTCGCTGGTGTTTTGGATCCCGTCATGTCTCAACCTCATATTTAAAATTGTAGGACTGAAAGTATTTGATCGTGACGAGGAATGTTCAATGCACTTGTGTTCCTCGTTAGTGTAGTGGTCAGTATCCCCGCCTGTCACGCGGGAGACCGGGGTTCAATTCCCCGACGGGGAGGAGAGGGTTTTTACTGACACTCCCCAACACAATCAATGGCACATTACACTTGGACAACACGGCATCTGTGCAGAAGAAGCCACTGATGTTTTAATTCAAGCCAACGATCAACTCTGGTGAAAGTGTAAATTCCATGTCAGGATGTCCGAGCGGTCTAAGGCGCTGCGTTCAGGTCGCAGTCTCCCCTGGAGGCGTGGGTTCGAATCCCACTTCTGACAGTTTTTGAGTAAACCTAATGAAGCGCCTCAATTCCGGCCACTATTTTTACATTGTGATTCGAAGGGGATATAGAGAGTGAGTTGTCCTGTGTCAATCTCACGTTTAGACTTGTGCGACTCACATTGACCAGATATTACGCAAGAGGTGGCCAAATTACGGCCAATTTTCACATTAAAACTGCGACTTGGCTGCGTTCCGATCGCAGTCTCCCTTGGAGGACTTGGTTCGAATCCCACTTGTGACAGAGGTTTTGAGTAAACCTAATGAAGTGCCTCAGTTGGGGCCAATTTTTTTACATTGTGATTCGGAAGGGATCTAAATAGCGTCTTCCTGTGTCAATCTCACATTGACCAGATATTCCGCAAGAGGTGGCCGAATTATGGCCAGTTTTCACATTACAACTGCGACTTGGCTGCGTAAAGAGTGTGTCTTCCTGTGGCAATCTCACATTGACCAGATATTCCGCAAGAGGTGGCCGAATTACACATTACAACTGCGACTTGGCTGCGTTCAGATTGCAGTCTCCATTGGAGGACTTGGTTCGAATCCCACTTCTGACAGAGGTTTTGAGTAAACCTAATGAAGTGCCTCAATTCGGGCCACTATTTTTACATTGTGATTCCAATTCCCGGCCACATTGTGACGGAAGCTGCATTGGCCGGCCTCCCTCGGTACAGGAATGTTCAATGCACTTGTGTTCCTCGTTAGTATAGTGGTCAGTATCCCCGCCTGTCATGCGGGAGACCGGGGTTCAATTCCCCGATGGGGAGTAGATGGTTTTCACTGACACTCCCCAACACAATCAATGGCACATTATACTTGGACAACACGGCATCTGTGCAGAAGAATCCACTGATGTTTTAATTCAAGCCAACGATCAACTCTGGTGAACGTGTAAATTCCATGTCAGGATGGCCGAGCGGTCTAAGGCGCTGCGTTCAGGTCGCAGTCTCCCCTGGAGGCGTGGGTTCGAATCCCACTTCTGACAGTTTTTGAGTAAACCTAATGAAGCGCCTCAATACGGGCCACTATTTTTACATTGTGATTCGAAGGGGATATAGAGAGTGAGTTGTCCTGTGTCAATCTCACGTTTAGACTTGTGCGACTCACATTGACCCGATATTACGCAAGAGGTGGTCGAATTATGGCCAGTTTTCACATTACACCTCTCAATCGATCAAACAACTGGGCTCAATTGGCCGGCCATCAGCGGTCTAAAGCGCTGCGTTCAGATTGCAGTCTCCATTGGAGGACTTGGTTCGAATCCCACTTCTGACAGTGTTTAAGCAAACCTAATGAAGTGCCTCAATTCGGGCCAATTTTATTACATTGTGATTCGAAAGGGATCTAAAGAGTGTCTTCCTGTGTCAATCTCACATTGACCAGATATTCCGCAAGAGGTGGCCGAATTACGGCCAGTTTTCACATTACAATTGCGACTTGGCTGTGGTAAAGAGTGTGTCTTCCTGTGTCAATCTCACATTGACCAGATATTCCGCAAGAGGTGGCCAAATTACGGCCAATTTTCACATTAAAACTGCGACTTGGCTGCGTTCCGATCGCAGTCTCCCTTGGAGGACTTGGTTCGAATCCCACTTGTGACAGAGGTTTTGAGTAAACCTAATGAAGTGCCTCAATTCGGGCCAATTCTTTTACATTGTGATTCGGAAGGGATCTAAATAGCGTCTTCCTGTGTCAATCTCACATTGACCAGATATTCCACAAGAGGTGGCCGAATTATGGCCAGTTTTCACATTACAACTGCGACTTGGCTGCGTTAAAGAGTGTGTCTTCCTGTGGCAATCTCACATTGACCAGATATTCCGCAAGAGGTGGCCGAATTACACATTACAACTGCGACTTGGCTGCGTTCAGATTGCAGTCTCCATTGGAGGACTTGGTTCGAATCCCACTTCTGACAGAGGTTTTGAGTAAACCTAATGAAGTGCCTCAATTCGGGCCACTATTTTTACATTGTGATTCCAATTCCCGGCCACATTGTGACGGAAGCTGCATTGGCCGGCCTCCCTCGGTACAGGAATGTTCAATGCACTTGTGTTCCTCGTTAGTATAGTGGTCAGTATCCCCGCCTGTCATGCGGGAGACCGGGGTTCAATTCCCCGATGGGGAGTAGATGGTTTTTACTGACACTCCCCAACACAATCAATGGCACATTATACTTGGACAACACGGCATCTGTGCAGAAGAATCCACTGATGTTTTAATTCAAGCCAACGATCAACTCTGGTGAACGTGTAAATTCCATGTCAGGATGGCCGAGCGGTCTAAGGCGCTGCGTTCAGGTCGCAGTCTCCCCTGGAGGCGTGGGTTCGAATCCCACTTCTGACAGTTTTTGAGTAAACCTAATGAAGCGCCTCAATACGGGCCACTATTTTTACATTGTGATTCGAAGGGGATATAGAGAGTGAGTTGTCCTGTGTCAATCTCACGTTTAGACTTGTGCGACTCACATTGACCCGATATTACGCAAGAGGTGGTCGAATTATGGCCAGTTTTCACATTACACCTCTCAATCGATCAAACAACTGGGCTCAATCGGCCGGCCATCAGCGGTCTAAAGCGCTGCGTTCAGATTGCAGTCTCCATTGGAGGACTTGGTTCGAATCCCACTTCTGACAGAGGTTTTGAGTAAACCTAATGAAGTGCCTCAATTCGGGCCACTATTTTTACATTGTGATTCCAATTCCCGGCCACATTGTGACGGAAGCTGCATTGGCCGGCCTCCCTCGGTACAGAAGAGAATTCTACCACTAAGTGTGCTAAAGTGTATGCTGCATTGGCCGGGAATCGAACCCGGGTCCCCCGCGTGGCAGGCGAGAATTCTACCACTGAACCACCAATGCCTGTTTTCGCTGGTGTTTTGGATCCCGTCATGTCTCAACCTCATATTTAAAATTGTAGGACTGAAAGTATTTGATCGTGACGAGGAATGTTCAATGCACTTGTGTTCCTCGTTAGTGTAGTCGTCAGTATCCCCGCCTGTCACGCGGGAGCCCGGGGTTCAATTCCCCGACGGGGAGGAGAGGGTTTTTACTGACACTCCCCAACACAATCAATGGCACATTACACTTGGACAACACGGCATCTGTGCAGAAGAAGCCACTGATGTTTTAATTCAAGCCAACGATCAACTCTGGTGAACGTGTAAATTCCATGTCAGGATGGCCGAGCGGTCTAAGGCGCTGCGTTCAGGTCGCAGTCTCCCCTGGAGGCGTGGGTTCGAATCCCACTTCTGACAGTTTTTGAGTAAACCTAATGAAGCGCCTCAATTCGGGCCACTATTTTTACATTTTGATTCGAAGGGGATATAGAGAGTGAGTTGTCCTGTGTCAATCTCACGTTTAGACTTGTGCGACTCACATTGACCAGATATTACGCGAGAGGTGGCCAAATTACGGCCAATTTTCACATTAAAACTGCGACTTGGCTGCGTTCCGATCGCAGTCTCCCTTGGAGGACTTGGTTCGAATCCCACTTGTGACAGAGGTTTTGAGTAAACCTAATGAAGTGCCTCAATTCGGGCCAATTTTTTTACATTGTGATTCGGAAGGGATCTAAATAGCGTCTTCCTGTGTCAATCTCACATTGACCAGATATTCCGCAAGAGGTGGCCGAATTATGGCCAGTTTTCACATTACAACTGCGACTTGGCTGCGTTAAAGAGTGTGTCTTCCTGTGGCAATCTCACATTGACCAGATATTCCGCAAGAGGTGGCCGAATTACAC